ATGGGGGGGGGGGGGGGGGGGTTCAAACAGGGGCATATTGGTGGGTGTAGGTTTATACTTTTATGCATTTCTATTATTTCATTGAATGGATATTCTTTTTTTGTTCCCTTTGATTTCTATTAGTTACATATGCTTGAGCTGGATTATACATATAATTTATTGCTGCTGAATGGATATAGTTTTGGTTCCAACAGAAATGCTGTGCTTTGAAACTTTTTTCATTTGTTATGCTTGCAGACTGTACCAGTTAACCCTAAGCCTTTTTTAAACAATTTGACTGGGAAGCCTGTAATGGTAAAGCTCAAGTGGGGAATGGAGTACAAAGGTTGTCAGCTCTTATCATCCTCTCAACTTCTGCGTTTTTGTACAGCGTGCACTTTTTTCATTATCTAGTTTGCATATTTATATCCCTTTTCTGTAATAACAAGGTTAATTTTTTCCCTTTGGGCTTTACTTTTAGGGTTTCTCGTCTCAGTTGATTCATATATGAACTTGCAGGTAACTTCACAAATTTTAATTTTAATTTTAAGTTTATCTCCATCAGACTTATGGTTGCTAGTTCAAGTCTTTGTGAAAATGTGCACTATAATATGGCATGATCTTGGATATGGGTGAGTAGTCTTTTTCTATTGTGGAAATGTGTTCACATTTCTGATCAATTGATGTCTAGTGTGTGGATACATGAAAAATGCATAATACTCACAGATTAAGCCTCCGTTGGAAAGAATTTAGAAATAGATAGAAATAAGAGGTTGATAAGTAGATAGTATTGTAGGTCCATTGGAATGTGTGGTTGAAAATGAAGTTTGACCACTTTATAAATGATATCTAAATTTGCCAAATGCACGCTAATTCTTTTAATGCTGTAATGCGCTAAAACATTTTTTCTTCTGACATCCAGTGTATAAACAGGTAAACTAACATCATTTTAAGGTAGTTAAGGAGATGGTTTATGCAAAATATCAGAAACAGAATGCAACCTACCCCAATTTTGTTGAGAACAAGGTTTGTTGTCGTGTTATATTTTTAGAGAGACATCATTAGTTTCTGCCAAAATGACATATTGTTCTACATTAAAGTTTCATTTGATGAACATGTATTATGCAAGCAACCAGAGTGGCAGAGAGGATAGGGTGGGGTGTCAAAAATAAACTTTGACTTAGGCCTCCACATAGAAAAAAGTTGTATATACAAACAACCGGTGAAATAAAAATTAAAAGATGTTTATAAGAGAGAGAGAGAGAGAGAGAGAGAGAGAGAGAGAGAGAGAGAGAGCTATCTCTCTGATTTGTTAAGAGTTCTATACTTATAATCAGTTATTTTTGTGATTAGTGGATGTTATTTTTGGCAGCTTGCAAATGCTGAAGAATACATTGATGGACAATTCAGTGGAAGTCTTGGAGAGATCTTGATCAGGTAGTCACTGTCAGCTGCTGCCATAAAACTTTTTCCCTGCAAAAGCATCAATTTTCGAAAATTTTATGGCATTGACATTGGTATATTTTTGGTACATGTGTATATTTTCTTTTAGTAACAAGTGCGACCGTTTTCTCTGTAGAGTCGGAGAAGTTGGTTTATTTCTTCATATTTTGCAGTTGCTTCCATTGTTCTCATGATAGCTAGACAAGTTAGAAGAGTTTTGTGTATTACTTCATTCTTGTGTCAAACGAGTTACCATATCTACTGAGAGTTGCTTTTGCAGATGTAACAATGTGCTTTATCTTCGTGGGGTGCCAGAGGATGAAGAAATAGAAGAAGCAGATCGTGACTAGTTGCCTCTGTGGTAGCAGTAGTGTGATGATCTGATCAAGGAATTCGAAATTCTGTTCTGCTGTGCTTCTATGAAATCTAAAAATTACCCTTGTATATGTATTGTTGTTAAAAATCCTATTACCTAATGAACATGCCATATTGTGGATTCAGTTGATCATACTGCATTTTTAGATATGATATCGGGATTATGCCATTAATTCCAATTTAATTTGAGTGGGAGTGGCATTCGTTGATGATAGTATGTTCAGTTTCGTACTTTGGTTAAAAATGAGAGTTTTAGCATTTATTGATAAAAATTGATTAAATGTGTGGTTGAAAATTTAGCCTTTGTTTGAGCCTCATTATAAAGAGAAATTTTGGTAAAATGTATTATATAATAGTATTTTTTGGGAGAATATGTGGTTACGAAAGAAGAATTTTTTTTTTTATTATTTATTATTTTTATTTTTTTTACTTGGGTATAATATTATTTTATTGAAAAATGTGTGGTTAAAAGGAAAAGAGAGAAAAATGTATTAAAATTTTTAAGGGTGTCAAACAAGAGCTTAATATAAGTTGTTAGTCCTATAAAATGTGAGATTGAAAATGGGGAAAATTACCTAGATCCCTTCTTTTCAAGATTACATTTCTAAAACAAGTGGGTGAAAAATTAAATCTCAATAGTCAGGTGATAAATACTAATTTTTAAATTAATTAATTACTCCCATACACTCTACCATCCCTATGCCTATACACTCTACGATCCCTCCTTTTACCCCATACCTCGATATATTTTCTAACCCACCACACACAAACACACTCTCTTCCCTAAAAATTGATCAGCACTCTCTTACCCATAAATCTCATCGGTGGCTTCTTTCCTATCCCCACCCTTTATATTCCGATCACCTACCACTTCTCTCGTCGGAGTTTAGCACGAATTTCTTCTTTGAAAGTTGATAAGCTTAGATTTTGGGAAAGTGCCAATGCAGTACATGGGTCACCTAAAGCAGAACCAATCTGTGGGAGAAGAAAATCAAACCTGAACGTGGGGACCATACGGTGAAGAACAATTAGATCTACGGCTTCTCTCTCATAATCTTCCTCATCTTTTCGAGAAATAACTGATGAAGAATCTTTGAAATGCTCATTGAGAAATATTCAGTAGTCAATTGGTTGGTGTTTTTTGAAGGTGTTGGTGGAAGTTAAGGTAGCGATGATTGTTGTTGTGGATTTGAGTTAAAGATGTTAGTAGTGGTGGTGGTTATTATTTTTTCGAACAGATCTGTTGTGGTAGTTAGAGATCTAATTTTTTCTGTTCGAGATCTGGTTGTGACTGTTTGTGACCTATTTTGTGTTAATTCTGATCGATTGTGACTTGAAATTAATCTAGTCACAAACAGTCAAATTGAATACAAACTTGGTCACAGACCCCATATCAATGTACCCTAGATCTTGTATCAATTTTTAACCCACACACTCTATTTCTTCCCCCAAAAATTAGTTCGGCACTCTCTTACCCAAAAATCAGATCTACGACTTTTTTCTCATCCACCCTCTAGATTCCGACCACCTACAACTTCTCTCATCGAAGTTTCACGAAAGAAGTGTGGTGGTGTTGGTTCGTGTTTTTTGAAAGGTTGGTGGAAGTTATGGTAGTGATGATTGTTGTGGATTTGAGATACCGTATTTATAGTCATCAATTTGAGTTAAAGATGTTAGTAGTGGTGGTTATTATTTTTCCGAACAGATCTACTGTGGTGGTTGGAGATCTGATTTTTTCTATTCAAGATCTGGTTGTGACTGTTTTTGACCAATTTTGTATTGATTGTAACTGGTGATGACTTGAGATTAATCTTGTCATAGATAGTCACACTGAATACAAATTTGGTTACAATTAGTTACATCAAAGGCAAAATTGGTCACGGTGATTCTCAGATAACATAAGTTAGTGAATTGGTCACGTATAACACAAGTATGGTAATAGATGACACGGTTGCAAATCTGATAATTACAATGCACCACTATGACCATCACAATTTTTGGAGATTTTTCTATCAACGGAACCGAAACAATTGGTGGAATAGTCGCCGGAGCAGTCACCAAAGCGTTCGCTGCAGCAATTTGCCGGAACGGTTGCCGGACCAGTTGCTGAAGCTGCTGCCTGAGCGATCGCCAGAGTGAATACCGGAGTTGATGGCTATCTTCGGTGGAGAGGTAGAGGGAAGGTGGTGTAGTGGGGTAATAGGATGGGGTGAGTGAGATGACATGGAGTGGAAATAATTGATGTATATTAAATAATAGTTTAATATTTAATAAATATATTTACTACCTGATTTTTGAAATATTTCATTGAATTTGTTATTTATGAAATGTGTTTTTATAACGTTATAGTTATGTACTCTTCCCTTGAAAATGAGTTTTAAAAATTTGATGCTAAACAAAGGCTTTGAACATGTTTGGTTAAGTTTTACCTCCAAGTAAAAAGAGGTTGTATAAAATTAACTTTTACTTATTGTTAATAAGTAATTTTTATATTTCATAAATAAAATACTTATAAGTAACTTTTCAAGTAAAATAAAAGATGTATTTTATTGATCAAAGTGAGAAATAACTTATAAATAATTGATAAAGAGTAGTCAAATAAGGGCTAAGAACTCCTCAATGGCCAATAAGCTTGAAATTTTTACTTATAAGTGAATTTGATTATATTTGAAGAAGTTTTAATATAAAATTGTATTTTATTGATCAAATTTGAAAACAGGTAATACTTAACAAAAAAAAGGCTAATTACAAGTGTTTATATATACCAAATTACTTTTCATTTTACAAATTTTGATTGGTAAGAGTTATTTCTTAAAATATGTGTTTTTTTTTTTTGCTTTTTAACTTAAAACTAATTTTCTTTTGAGGAAACTAGGCCCACTGGTCTAAAAAACAAACCAACTAGATTAATACACATAAAATAAACTAAAAACTCTAATCGGCATAATTTATATGTCCCAAATCGACTTGAAAAGCCCCAAAACCAACTGCTTCAAAGAGGAACTCTCAAAACTCCCAAATGAGGATTGATCAGATGATTTGGAAAAATGGGAATTGGAGTTGTCTTTGGCTTTTGCCGGCATGATGTCGAGGCTCACTTTGGGACTCATGTCCCTCAGCCTTGTCAATCTTGAAGTTCTTGCCAAATGTTATGAAGACAAGCCACAATCAGAGAAAGCATGGGGAAGAAAGAAGAGAAGAAGCGGCCTTGAGATGAAACAAAGGAAGAGGGAAGAAAAGGCAACAACGGTTACTAACTCGGCTGGCACATTTTGAATAGGCAACATATGGTGTCGTTTTGTTTTTTCTTTATTTTGTTAAAGTGGTATTAGACCAAAACACGTTTTTGCCTTTCTAGTAACTCTCCATTTTGCTATAACTGTAAAGAGGGAGAGATAGTGGGGCATGATTTGATGTCTGTAAAATATCTTTTCTAAACTTCTTCTTCTTCTTTTCTATTCTGTACTTAGCTCCTCTCATTTCTTATTAATTGCTGTAATCGACTTGGTTATTGCAATTTATATAGTGGGTACTGTATTTTCTATTTAGTTTTTGAGCTGTTGTTGTTGATAATCTAGCTCAACTATAACATTTGGAATCAGAGCGGCAACGTGATTTGGGATGGCAGAAACTATAAGCAAATCTAATGAGGAGCACCTTAAGAGGTTGGACAAGGAAATGGAAAATTTGGGGATGGCTTTTAAAACGAACGATCAGACGCTACAGGCTGTTTGTACTAGGTAGTACCGAATGGAGTAGATGATGGGAGAAATGAAAGCCACACAACAGTCTATGCTGTTGATGCTAGCTCAACTGACTGGATGTAAGGCTGATGGTAAAGAAAAACAAGTAGAAGGATGTGAGTCTCCATCTCAAACCAGTGGTGGTAGCTTTAGAGGGAATGAAATTCCTTCTGGTTACACTAATGGAAATCGAGAGGTTAGATTGGCTACCAAGGTACCCAAAATAGACTTTCCTTATTTTACTGGAGATGGGCCTAGAGAGTGGTTGAGGAAGGTAAGCAAGTATTTTCAGATTCATCAGGTAGAAAACGAGATGAAAGTGGGGATTGTTGAGATGTATCTGAAAGGAAAGGCTGACATATGGTTCCATGGATACATCTTTAGCCATCCAACTGCTGGTTGGGATGTCTTTGCGAATGAGATTTGTGGGAGGTTTGCAGAGAACACAGCTAAAGAAGTAATAGAGGTATTCAACAAATTGAGGAAAAAGGGACCATAATTGAGTGTCAGGAACAGTTTGAGGAGTTAAAATCGCAGGTGATGTTAACTTTGCCCAACTTCCCTGAAGCCTACTATATATCTATCTTCACCAGTGGTTTGAAGGAGGAAATTAAACCAATGGTGAAGATCATCAGACCTACTACATTGGCCAAGGCTTTTGAAGTGGCCATCCTATAGGAAAACACCATAACTGCTCTAAATAGAGGGGCCAGGGCATACAAGACTTACCGACAATCCAAATGGACTCACTCCAATAATAAACCTATGGATCCCATACATAAACCCACACCCATTGCAGAACCCAATTCAAAAATGTCTGCTGATGCTACCAAAAATCGTACCTGTAGATTTCCCGAGCTTGATGACTGATGATGAGCACGAGCGTGATCTTCCGATACCTGAAACAAAGGCAACGAGGTGTGTTCTCGTCGCCCCTCCGATGCTTAAGTCAGAAAGGGGAAATATATGCGTGAGGCTATGTGCTGAAGAACAATGAGAAAACGTACCTGAATAATGGCTCAAGGTCCTGTATTTATAGGGGTAGGTAGCGTGTTCATATCAGGATTCCGCATTGCACCTGTAGTAGGATAGCTTGATTTTGCAATTTTATACCAATGAGTCCTACGCGAGATAGGAGTTTGAATTGAGGTATAATTGTGATAACAATAGAGTTCTTCTGGGCATAGGAGACATAAATTAAGGATATTTAGTCAGAATAAATCTCTCGTTGGACAAGGCGCTGTTGTAGGTCATAATCCCGAGGACATAGCCCCGAGGACATGTCGAATGATTGTGTAATAAATCTTCGGGCTGATAGCCCGGGCATACATGATACCCGAGCACATATGTCCCGAGCATTTTGATACACATACCGACGAAATTGAGTCCTCGGTCTATATACGTCGAGAACAAAACTCGGTTATATCATTGGCCCCCGTGCACCTGTGCTCGATAATATGCACGAGGATAGGTGCAAAAGGTCC